AGGGCAGGCGAAATTGTCTCACTACCACCGGGTCATCATCTTTTAATTTAATACGATACCCTGGTATTTTTGCCTCTTTCAATTTCTCCTCATCAAGTTTATAGACCCACGGATTGTATCGGACAAGGTCTTTTACCTCTTCCTGCTCCTCCTCATCGAGACCCTCCAATTTGAGGACTTCAATAATTTTATTGGCTCTAATTTCGCGCTGTTGATCGTCTGAACTCTCTGTTTCTCCAAATGCTTTAATTTCCGCCTCTGTCGCGATTGACTCTATCTTTTCCAGGTCAACAAATGGAACTCTAAATCGCTCTTCGGTTTCACAGGTATTGTAGACGTACATGAAAGCAACACCATCTTTAGGCCTTACTATCGCATCCCCGAAGTACACTCCTGTTTTGATGTCCCTTCGCGGGAGGTATCCGACCTCAGCGTCGAATTTATTTACTCTGACGTATATTAATTTGACTGTCCTAGGCGGAAGAGGAATTGACTCCGTGTTTACGAACGTATGTATTCTTTCCCCTATAGTCAACGTATCTTCCCCATAGTCAATTTTGACTGCCCTACTTTTTAGAAATGGCCTGCCCAGCATTCCATCTTCTATAAGGGGAAAATCTGAGTCGACGACATGGAATTTGTCCTTGACTCCCTCTACGTCCAGAGTTACGTATCCAACCGTCTTCAATTTCCCCGGTGTAACCCCTTTAATTATTATTATTTCTTCGCGATTTATAGTTACTTTCGGGCTGAGTTTATCCAGTCTCACTAGATTTACATCAGCCCCCGTGTCGACAAAAAATTGACCTTCCCCCCTTTCCATTTTATTAACCTTTAAATGGACTTGAGTGGGGGGTACATCCATTACGCGGAAATTCACATGGGCTGTCTTATATATTACCGTGTTCTGCGCGTTTGACTCGCCCATGCCTCTGAGTCCCAGATCGCGCAGTTTTTCTAGACTCATTCCTAGTTTAAATTTTTGTTAGAGGGACTTGCAACAGCTGGATCTTCCTGTTGTCCCTCTCCCTTGGTTTCCTCAGAAGCCATTTTTCTGGGGAATTGCTGCTTTATTAAATGTGAGGGGGTTCTACATTCTCGCGCGAAGTGTCCGGGTTTGGAGCACTTGTAGCAACTGTAATCAGCGGTGTTGGGTTTCTTCTTCCGCTTATCATTTTGTTTCCCCCCTTTATAATCTGAGTTGCCTTTACCGCTCTGAAAACCGCGTCTCTGCCCGTCGGCTTTGGCTGAATTTGTGGCTTTAATGTTCAATGCCCTCAAATCAGCTTCAAGGGCGTCGTCATCGATTGATTCTGTTGCTCTAATTTTCGCTTGCCCTTGAAACTGCTTTGTTTTTGCGTGCAATTTTCTGAGTTGTTCGAAATCTTCGGTCTCTTTTAATTTGGATTCGATTGTCACTGCAACGCCGACGGCTTCGTCAAAAGAGGTAGGTGTCAGAGGGAACATCATGTTCTTGATGTCTCTTCTGAGACCTGCGAGGAATGCTTCCCTCATGTTCAGTTTTATGCCATGAATGGTAATACCGTAATCAGCCGTCGGGTCCGTGTCAAGTCGACTCTGTGCTTTTAATTGGAGAGCTCTGAAACGCGCTTCATAGTCGGTTACTGATTCCCCGTATTGCTGATATAAACGTGACATTTTTGCGAGGATTTGACGTAAATTTTCTCTAGTTCCGAATGAAAGACGAAGCTTCAGGATAAGGTCATCGAGTGAATAGATGCTAGTTAATGCGCTCTCCACTGCCAATCTTGCCTTGGGGCCGAATTTTGGTAGTATTTGATGGAAGAAATTGAATTCATCTCCCGGTTTCAGAAGTCGACGTGACATATTTAAACTGGTGATGAACCTTTCAACATCGTCCCCAACTTCGTATTTCGGTAGTGGTCTAATGGCATTTCTCACTCTTTGATCCTCTCCATAAAAATTTTCTAATCTTGGATTATATCCCATTCCTGGTCCATATCCCTGTCCTTCAATGCCCAGATTTAATTCCGGTCTTGTGTTCCCGCCTCCAAAATTATTATTCGGTGTTACGGTTCCGGCATTCATTCCCTGTGTTGCGTTTAAGCCGCCAAGACCGAGATTTGACCTGGCAACTCCCAGATTCGACCCTGCAAATCCTAGATTCGACCCTGCAAATCCTAGATTCGACCCTGCAAATCCTAGATTCGACCCTGCAAATCCTAGATTCGACCCTGCAAATCCTAGATTCGACCCTGCAAATCCTAGATTCGACCCTGCAAATCCTAGATTCGACCCTGCAAATCCTAGATTCGACCCTGCAAATCCTAGATTCGACCCTGCAAATCCTAGATTCGACCCTGCAAATCCTAGATTCGACCCTGCAAATCCTAGATTCGACCCTGCAAATCCTAGATTCGACCCTGCAAATCCTAGATTCGACCCTGCAAATCCTAGATTCGACCCTGCAAATCCTAGATTCGACCCTGCAAATCCTAGATTCGACCCTGCAAATCCTAGATTCGACCCTGCAAATCCTAGATTCGACCCTGCAAATCCTAGATTCGACCCTGCAAATCCTAGATTCGACCCTGCAAATCCTAGATTCGACCCTGCAAATCCTAGATTCGACCCTGCAAATCCTAGATTCGACCCTGCAAATCCTAGATTCGACCCTGCAAATCCTAGATTCGACCCTGCAAATCCTAGATTCGACCCTGCAAATCCTAGATTCGACCCTGCAAATCCTAGATTCGACCCTGCAAATCCTAGATTCGACCCTGCAAATCCTAGATTCGACCCTGACGTCGGACTTCCGAATCCCATTCCTTGCCTGGCGAATCCGTAGTCTGTACCAAATGCGTGTGTCGCGCCTAATTCTGATCGTCCCATCCCATAATGTATGCCGGACGCTGAGTTATTTTGTCCCAATCCCAAATTTACTCTATTGTATTCTGGATTTCCCCCATACATTGAGGTCGATTGCCCTAATCCGTAGTTTGACATGCTAACGTTTGAGAATATTCCCTGTGTCTGTGGATTATTTAAGGGTGGTTGGGAGGTATTTCCTGAACTCGCGCTCATTCTCGCACTGGTACTCGTGTACGTCACGGTAGTGTTCGTTGTACTCGAGGCTGACGGTGCCTCGGTTGTTATTGTCGTGGGTGTCACGGCTACCGTCGGTACCCCTGTTCTCGCGTCTTGTGTGCCGTCCATATTTATCCTAATTAACTCTAATCTTGAGAGGTACGGTCTCGAGTCGTCGTTCCGTCTGTCTCGTCGATTATTCCGATTGGTCAACGATCGCTCTGAACGCGTGGGTGGAATTTTGAGGCTGTTTGTGTACTTACGTAGACCCAAAAACGGCGAATAAGAGCCACAATTTCATCCTCCTTCCTCTCGTTGGTGTTTTAATCGCGTTCGTTGTCTCTGCGCGTTGCTTCTCTGCTGGTTGTCCCCGGTTACTAGCTTTTTGGCGGGTTGTCTCTGCTAACACTTTTCTGCTAGTTGTCTCTGCTAGCACTTTTCTGCTAGTTGTCTCTGCTAGCACTTTTCTGTTAGTTGTCTCTGCTCGTTGTTACTGTCCTCGGGTGAAGTTTTGACTTCTCTGGATTCTCTAATCTTCCTTCTATCGAGTGCAGTTGTAACGGGAGATTGAGACGTCTGCCTTTTTCTTGACCGTCGGATTTTTTTTTCTTTTTCAGCACACGCGTATACCTTAATTATTCACTGCAATCCTTCACTTTTTTGTTAACATCACATAATCCTTTGAATCCTTGTTTTTGCACTCGCTTCCCCGAATGAGTGCCCAAAAACACGTTGGGCGCCAATGTGACGAAATGAGTTTATTTGTCCTTTAATAACTCATGTTCACCTCCGACCTCGGCTAGTCTCGGTGAGCTCACGGGTGGTTCGCTCAATCGGAGGGATAAGTGAAGGATAGAGGGAGGGTTAACGATATTAAACCGACCGTACTAATGTGGGTAAAATAATTATATATTAACTTCCTTTTATACACGGTAGTGTTTAATGGGTCGGTATAACGCGGTACTTGACTCGACTTTGGGACCTTGACTTGACTTGGTTCTTGGTTGGCTGAAGGCCTGAGCTCAGAGATCCGCTCTGTTTTGCTCCTGATCGTACTCTGACGTACTCTGGTGCTTCCCGAGTCGTCCAAACTCGTCAAAGTCCCAAAATGCTTACCTAAGCAATCCCACGGTTTTCTTCACTAATACGGTTTCGTGCATTCGTTTGTATAGAAACCTACACAGTCAAACAGTTCAGCACCCTGAACTGGACCTGTAGAAACCGTGGAACTGCTTACGCTGGTGTCCATGGGACACCGTGGGACTGCTGAGCAATCTTTGGATGAAGGGAATGAGAAACCTCGTTTCCCATTCCCATCGTCCACCACTTTGGGCATAATAATTATAATTATTAAATAAATCGACGTATTGATCGATCTCAATACGTCACAATCCAATAGAATCTGCGCAAAAAACAAATAGAATTTGAATTAGAATTCCCTAGAATTTTAATAGATTCCTCATAGAATTTCTAGAGAATTTCAATATAATTCAATAGAATTTTCAACTAATTATGAATGGCAGGTTAATTTTATCTGAAGTAAATATGTTGCTCATTTGAAGAATAATTTTTTGTAAAAATTTCAGTTTTGAAAATAAAGTGTTTGAGATATTTACTATAAAGAAAAAACATATTTTATCGCATGAATCCCGTGAAACAGCAGTAAATATCCTGCTTGTAATCCTTCATTTGGAAGATTTTTCCATAGTGATTCTATACGTCAAACGAGCACTAGATAGTTCTAAACCCGAATACAATGGTGAGAATGTAAACTAGATTTGTTCATCGAGAAAAAACTGAATTTTTAATTCAATCACATAGAATTGGGGATAAAATGATCCAAGCCTGTTTATTGCTGTCATCGCTTGTTGCAGAAGATAGATCTTACGAATAAGCGGAAGAAATCATAACAATGAAAATTGAATTTTTACCTCTGTGCATCTTGTTTCCTGAAGTGGACAACATCAATATGAGTCTTATAAACAGCGCGAACATTAGACATTCTGGGATTAAGTTGAATGGGCATGGCTCGATAAATTCCAGTAACAGAAACGCGATCACCAGGGGATACAGCGTCAACGAGATCGTTATGTGCAAAACAAAGCACAGTATGGGGTGTCTGTCCAGCAGCCATATCATCCGGAGATTCTTGTAGCTTGATCATTTGTTTATCCGAAAAATGACTACGATTATGAATGAGGCTGAAGCAATAATTATTATTGCAATGGGTGCAGACAGTTGGTTCGGCTATTCTACCTCGATCAACTTCCACCATTGTTGAAAACAAGCAAACAATGCATCTAAAAAAGGCCTCCCTCATTTCTGGCATTACATTCGATGTCCTTATAACCATTCCACAGATCGTTATCAGCTGATCAATATCTTCTGGATTCAACATCCTCATATTCTTAGTTTTCGCGACATTGAAGGGTCTTACTTGTATCTGATGTTCCAGTACTGCAGCGGGAAATTTCTCAAAGAACATTTCATTAGCTGCCATATCCATTGTGGGAATAACCTCTTGAGGATAGCAGATGAGCTGCTGGTAGAATTGTTCATCAAAACTCTCTAGGTGGGCACAATTGATATTGAGGTATGGCTCTTCGAGTGTATGGATTTCTTGAAGCTTTTGGAGATATAGGGGTTCACTCCTGTTCAAATCGTCGGTCAATTCATCATTTTCGGGATCAGGATCAATAAAGCGTTGAATAAAATGCTTGAACTGTTCCTTGCACCGATTCACCACAACATTGGTTCCCCAGATAACAAGCTGAGGACCTGCGGATTCGCTTTCAGAAGTTTTTGTTCCATTAACTTCCTCTGGAATCTAGAAAATTTATTCAATATTGAACAACATTCACTGGAACGATCTTTTCTGGAAATCATTAACTTTTCATCATTTTTGACTTTCGAATTCTGGCTCATCAAAGCGTAGTGTTCGATGCAATGAAGTGCATTCGGATAAGTGTGTTATAGCAAATTTTAGAAAAAACAAACAAGATGTAGACAATTTACGAGCGGGTAGAATGGTAAAATCTAATCATTTAAGGGGAGACTACTATGAGTTTTAAAAGTCGCGGGCTATTGGAGCGAGATTTCTCATACATTGGAGATCGATTATATATGTTTAAGGATAATCGGGCGAGCCCGGAGGGTTAGAAAAAAGAGCAGCCATTTTTCTCTTTTATTTTTTACGTATCCTTTAAATGATGGAAAAGGTGTGTGCAAAGTTTCAAACTGCTGGGGAACATGGTTAATTTATTATGAATTTTTGAAAAAGTGGTCATTTAACCCGTGATCTTATGGAAANAAAAATGCAGCCAAAGTCATGAAACTTTAGACACATTTAGAACATGTGATCAATGATTTTTTGAGTGGAAAAGATTGTCGCCTAGGAGCATTGTTTATTAATAATAGCGAAAAAAGCACTGAAAAATGAAATTTCTGCGCACGCAGCCCAAACGAGCAGCAACGTCTCAAGTACCGATCGGGTGGGGGTAGCGCGGTCAATTTAAACGTCTCTGGAGAGAGAGCGATGAAGCGTTGTGACTGGAGCTCCCTCAAAACAGTGGTACCAGCTCTTGGTGAAAAAAAAAAAACTACCGACGATGTTGTAACCAGAGATTATAGGGGAGATGAACAGGGCCAATGTAAAGTGTTCAACAACAAAAATCGTAGCGGTGGCGCATGGACTACGATGGAGCGTACGGAACTGTTGGTATGATAGGGCCCGAGCATAAATTTGTCGATAACCGGAAAGGGGTTCTCAATACGGTAGCTCCTCGCATTTTGTAATAATTGTCAGGAATGTAAAATCGAACATATTATAATCAATAGTATAATGAATGCACAATCTAATGATCTAAAAGTCTTTTCCTTTTTCTCGACATATTTATCATTGACACGTAGGTCAAAAAATTCATAGAAAATCCCAGCGCTGTCGCTGGAAAACTCTATAGTTTTCCAGTGATTCTATTGAATAATTGTGCAGATTGTGTTTTTTTTT